AGGTCATGTTCTATAATTATGGCTTGTATAATGGGAAGCCATAAGAAGGAAAGGTTATGCGCATGGTCAGTAGCACGTGGTACAACTGTAAGGGGCCAATATGGCTGAAGGAGGATAACCACGAGAAAAGAAGCGAATGAAAATGTGTAAAGCGCTCAATAAAGGTTAGCCTTCATTAGTGCTGATGAAATGGAAGAAATTAGTACAGGTTTTGAACCCTTGGACACTAATAGAGATATGAAGGTATTTACTCAACGGCGGTGTGGTGGTAAAAATGTTACTAGCAGTAAAGAATACTCTTTAGATGTTTCTAGAGGTACAGAATTCATCTCAAATTGACTAGTAGGAGCTACACTTGTTGATAAAAGGTCGTCGCGAAGACTGACTCCATTCTGGAATATAATGGGCATGCAATTCAATCAATCTTTGCAGAAATAAAGACTACTATTATATCAGTTTATTTACAAAATCTTTTATTAATAACATATTTTGCTGTTTTACAAATGACCTTTTGTTATCATTGTTATCACAACTAAACAAGCCAAGCATTACTTCCGGTGATATATATATATATATATTGCATTGTCGGTGCCTTTAATCATAGCTATGTCACATCCTGGTAAATATGTATATTGCACCGGAAGTGATCGTCTACCAGATATAAACCCAACGCGGTGCCTTTCATCTTATGGCTTCCCATGATACAAAAAATGATAGATAATTCAGCTGCTAGTGTGAATGGGCACTATTTCAGCTGTATCAACAACTAGTACCAGGAACTTCTGAAAGGAGACAAATATTTTAAATTACACACACACACATCATGACACATGTACTGTACATGAAATTAAAAGTAAATAACCACCAATATATACCTTGTGCTTGCTGCCTTGAACTAGGCAAAAAAAAATTTTTGACTCGAGTAAAGAAGTTTGGTTGATCTATAATGAAAAGAAAACAGGATGATTAACTAAAATAAGGTTATGAATCTATAGCTGATATTGGATTTATTAGTAAATTCATTTACCAGTTGGAGTTGATGGACTTTGACTTGAAATGGCTTGAGCTTTTGTCTCTTGGGCTGCTGCTGTCTCATCAGTTGTTGGAGCAGTCTCCTTGCTTGGTTCTATTATAAGTAGTAATGACTTTCAGTGGAAAAGGATTGATTTCCTTACCTTTGCATCTCTGTTTGTACTCCTTAAAGAAAATAGGATATCGTACTTTATCTTCAATTTTAGAGACATTACCAGCTTCAACAACACCACGCTCCATCAGTAACAGTGTAAACTGGACTCTACTCATATTAGACACATTTTGGCTGTTGAGGTGAAGTGAAGAGGTGTAGACCTTAGTACTGCTGAAGTCCCTCTGACTCATGTTACCATAGTAATCAGCAACTGTCAGGCAGAGATCAACTTCAGGATAAGCTGTGTTAAGATCAAAGTTTGGTAACGAAAATGGTTTCAATTTCTTCGTATCTCCCCAACCAGACCTTTCCAGGACTCCAATAGTGATTGCAACAGCGAGAGGGTATTTCCAAAGATTTCCTGTCAAATCAGTGAAAAGCTCAAAAAAGGACTTGTTAGAATCAAACGCAATACTGCATAGTACAGTGAGAACCATACGATAGCGATCAATTTGATAATCACCTAAACGAGGACCCAGTTCATCACGTACAACTTTAATGACAGCTGGCCTGAACTCAGTAATCTTCTCCAATTCTTCAGTTATTTTTGTGTTGATTTCAACCTCAGTATGCAGGTATACTCTGAAATCCTCCATTTCTTTATACCCCAGGCCAGTCAGTATCTTGTACACGTAACTTGCAGCAACTTGTGGAGATTTCTCTGATACATGGGTGGAATATAACTCTAAAAACTTTTTTGATAGCGACCAGTCAGGTTTCATGTCACATTTCACATTACTGATTGCGAGTAATCTAATATAATGATCAACTATGTATCGAGGAAGAGAATGAGACATATCCAACATAACATCATACAACTGTTCACCTAAAATAATTTCAAGAATGAATAAAACAACATTTTTAATACAAATTTAACATACGCTTTTCTGACTCCACAACAACTTCTGGATACTCCTCCCTCATCTTTTCAGCAACGCTATCCAATGGTATACTATCATCCATTACTTTTAAGATCAGTTCAAAAAGTTCCTTTCTGTCTTTGTCACTCTTAGCATGTTTCAACTTGTCTTCGATTCCTTTCACAAGCAGATTCGCTTTTCGATCAGGACCCAGGCCCGTCATACCAGTAACATTGTCGCGCAATTTTGAGTCGATAATGTCCTTCGAGTAGAGCTTCAAAGCAAATGGGGAGAGCAAACCACTTGCAGCATCAGCTATGTCTGAAGCAGAGTTCTGAAAGACAACCAACTCGGGAGAAGACATTGTGCTGTCTCGGCTGTGTCAGGCGGAAAGCCGGAAACGCTTGAGGAGGATTGGTCACTCTACTTGGTCTCTGATTATCCATAGATTAGATAATAGAGTAAATGAAAGGGTCCAGGGATTGGAAACTACCGTTCCCGCCCCGTGATGCGGTTTTCGTCACCCCTGGTTGGCTATGTCCGTGTTTATTTGCATTCCCCATCTCCTCCACAGGATCTCGAAGGAATATTGTGCAACTATTAGATAGCGCTTGCTTATGATATATCTTCTGTTCCACATAGAAAGTTTATGGCTACCTATAGCAGGGTTTTTGTTTCTATAGAGCTATTTTTCTACCAGTTATGGGTACACAAAGTCGGCATCTTTTTTGACACCTTTTGCCTCTACAGCTTTCATGCTTTTGCTATTCTGGTGCTGCCTCATATCATTCCATAGGCAATTGAAAGTTCTTTTATATTCTGACAAGCTTTTTAGAGTTTAGCTACAATTGTCTTCATTAGAGGGAGAAAACAGCAATTTTATGGGCAAAAGCGCTATAACACTCAAAATATTAATCTAAATATACCAAATAAATAATAATTAACAGTGCAAAACATTAAACTCCTTGATAGTTGAGTTTCTTTTTCATCAGAGCACTCTTCTTGGAGTTATTCTAATTTTAATGGAAAAAATCAAGAATTTTGTGATCAAAAGGTAACAAACCGCCTAGTCAGCAATTTTTTGCTTAGCAACAATACAATCAAATCATAGATAATAGAGTAAATGAAAGGGATTGGAAACGGAAGCGTGGGCGTAGCCCAACCTCCATTCATTTGTATTGCTGCTAGGCTGACAGAGGCTCGTTGAAATTTTTTGTCACAATTTACCCTTGATTTTCTTTCTTTTAGGAGCAATATCTCGCAAACAAGTGTTCCTATGCAAGTGAAATTAATGCATCAAGAAGCCTAATGTTTCCTCTTTATAATTCTGTTTTCTATTGTACAGATAATTTTACCATGTTAATGTTATGGCACTTTTAAAACCATAAAATGTATTTTTTGTCATTATAATCCCTTTTTTGAAAACAAGCTAGAGTAAAATGCAATATCTTTATAATCATATGAAAGAGTTTCCATTTGCATATCGAATGATACTAGTTAGGGTTAGAATTCATGAAGCATGAGTTTGTTACAACAGAAAAAGGGCGAAAAATGAAAAAAATTTGTTGTACCTATAACTCGTTGCAAAATAGCGTTGTAGAAGTAAAAACCTTGCTGCAGGTAGTCCAACACTTTCTATATCGAACGGTAGGTATATCATAAGTAAGCGTCCTCTTGGATCTCCATAAATATCCTTCGAAGTCCTTGCAGTACAGCCTCACTAATGGAGGAGATGGGAAATCAACCAGGTTTTGGGCCGGTAACCAATAGCAACATCAACCAGCCTACGCCCCCGTTTCCAATCCCTTTCATTTACTCTATTATCTATGATCAAATGGGATTATTGCTACGCCCACGCGGAAGTTTCCAATCCCTTTCATTTACTCTAATATCTATGGATTATCAATTTATCACTCACAATTTTCACACACAACAACAAAGCAACTATTTTATTATCAAAAATGTTTCCATATCTCTCTTCACATTATCATCTCCTAAAGCATCAGCTACTTCAATGACACTCCTCCAGGTATAAGGAACTGAACCAGGACTTCCCTTCTGCCAAGCATTAAGTACTGCTGATAGACAGGAACTCTTGTTATCATGTTTTTTAACTAGCACATCTTCATCTAATGCCC